CAAGATTTCCACGTCCTGAATCAATCTGGCGTTGTCATAGTTACAATAGATGATGTGCGCCTTGCTGCATCTATGAACCTGTGTGCTCACCATTCTAGACCATCTGTATATATATGAACGCCCAATAAGTCTCCGGTAACATGTAGTACATATAAAAAATTGTTTTTTGCAAACAGGCAGCAGCTTGCAGTTCATTTTATTTTTATTTTTTTATTTCATACAACCACGCTCCGCTGTGTTTTAATGATCCCTCGGTACGTGACTACAATGCACGGTCGATAAATAAATATATATTGTCAGAGCTATGTTAGCAAAAAAAAAAAAAAAAAAAGTCTAAATGCTGATGTCTCCATGGCGTAAAAGAAGAAGAAGACATTTCGCAACAAGGTGGAGGCCACAGGCGACAGTATTGACTCTTGGATGAGTCAAGGAATCATGTGCTAAAAATAAAATAAAGGCCATTGCTGATGCAGTTCTCTGCTGCTGCCATTAGGTGATGTAGAACGAGTAGGTGCCAGGTCAAGGCAAAAGGCATCAACTGAATGAATGTACACAGGCATTGTTGTTTTTTTTTTTCTGGGGCCTTTCATAGACTTGAGTTAGGGTCAACTGGGCAAAATGTATTTGGCGACGTTTCACTCTCGGTTTGCCCCTTTGCCCATAAAAGGGCATCAGGGGCCTCTATAGAACCCACCGATTGTCTTAGCCCAGGAAGAAAAAGTGGCAATTGATCCAATTTTTTTATTTTCGGTGTGTAGCAGTTTTTTTTACACTGTACCAACTGTACAGAAGCAGCAAAACATTGGCTTGTGAACCGAGTGTTGTGGCCCTGCCTGCTGTGCACCGTCTCCAAATACAAATACAAGGTGCTGCACTCGCTCTTTTGCCGCTGGTGTTTACAGTGTTAATCAACCGTCTGTGACCTTTAAGTCCGTTATGGTATTACAGAGGTCTCTGCAATAAAAATGGCAGTTTTAAAAGGGGCTCTGAAAGAAGGACAGTATCTATATATATATATATATATATACATATATATTATATATATATATATACATATATATTATATATCTATATGCTAATTTGCTTAAGTTAACTATACGTTCAACATTGATTTCAGTCAAGCTCAGCTTAGCTCAGAGTGATTTGGAACAGGACGGTGGGAAAGTAAAAACACAAGATGGTGAGTGAGTCGGTTGCCACGGCAACAGTGTTTCTTGCTGGAGGTACCGCAGATTGCTATAAAAGCTCTGGAAAGTAGTAACCTCTACACGGGCGACAGCGTGTACATGTAAGCTGTACGTGGAAAGCCACGGATGGCGACGGCAAAAAGATCCCAGATTTACTGAGATCAGATTTTGTTTGTCTTGAATAGACAATGCGTCGACTGTGGCTGACCGGCTAACACGGTCAACCTTGAGACAACAACAAACACTTTGTGCTTAAGTCGTAAGGGGGATGGAAAGACAACTACAATAATAATATATGCATATACTGCATATACAGACATGTATAAAAAGTATCAAACATTGTACATTACGTGTATTTGTTTAACAAAAATATTTTTCCTGTATATATAAAACGTGTATATATATTTATATATATAGGAATATTTATTATATATATTTCTGATCAAATGTAACATTTGTTTACTGTAACTGCCGTTTTCTGTCGTGTTCTCAAAACAATATGTTTTCTATGTTCCAAGCTCTTTTTGGAACAAAATTCTTATTCTATTTAGCAGTCGTTTTTATTTGCTTTATATATATATATATATATATATATACATAGCATTCGATGATAAAAATCCCCATGTGATTTGGAACATGTGGCTTTGCAGCCATACATATATAAAGGCTGTGACGTTTTTGCTACCTATGCATAACTTTATATATATATATTTTTTTTTAAATGTATTGAGAGTCATCATGGCAATGCAAAGAGGAACAAAACTTCCTCTACCCCCAGAGCACCGACATTCAATTCTGAATCAAGTCATTCAATTCTGTCCAGCAGCTTTACTTTAGTTAGCGGAGCTTTGTTTGGGGAATGGAAAAAGATTTTTTTTTTTTTCAGGTCCGCAGTTAGGGAACAGTACAGCTTTTCGGTGAAACTACAGTAGAAATGGAGGACACAAATTGAACAGGGCAAAGTTGAAATCAACAATTGGGCTGGTACTACATTGAACATAATAACTCACTTTAAAGTTACCAGAAAAACAGTACAAAAGAAGTAAAACAGTGTCAGAATTGACCTAGAGTATTGGCAGTTGCACTTTTCAGTTTACTTTATATGCAATACACATATATCTATAGATATATCTATATATATACTGTATATCTATATACTGTATATACATCAGTACTGTATATACTCTATATACATCAGTATACACTGGGGCTTTGAGATACGAGTTCATTCCACAACAGCTCTCGTATGTCGATCCACTCGTATCTCGATTTGCATTTTCCCCCCCATTAAAAATAACCAAATAATAATCAAATCATTTGTTCCAGCCCCAGAAATATACTGTTAATTAATTAATTAAATACATTCCCCGCCCATCAAACATCAAAAACATAAGTGTTGAGTGTAAACATGGAGCCCGGTTGAACAAGTCGTAACTCGATGTTTCCTGCAAAAATTGCTAAACTCGTATTTCGGGTACCTCGTATCTCGAAACCCCCCCAACCCCCCCCCCCCCCCTGTAATGACAGTGTAGATTTGCGCTGTAATATGTACTTATGTAATATCCCAATCCAGAATGTTATGTCCTTAGCAATTAAAAAAATGTTTTGTTTCTGGTTGATGACTAGTTTAAGGCCATTGTGAACTTCTTTGACTTCCTTTTTCTTCTCTCTTTTATCTGCAGTGAAATCCTTCGAAGACGACGCTTCCCAAACCAACCCCCCTTTTAACGCCCTCCATTTTATGCAGTAAACATTATTGTAAAATAAAAAAAAAAAAAAAAAAAAAAAAAAAACCCCACACAAAATATCCTCAAATGGGTTATAGTTGATCTATAGTCATAGTGTTGGATCATTTTGAATTAGTGGAACCTGTGCAATGTTAAAAAATCTCATTTTAAGGCAGCGTTTTCACATCAGTATACATCAATGCCGTTAACTTAAGAAAACAAAAATGAAATTAAATATGAACATCAATGTGAGCACTTAAATTCGCTCATTTGGAGGTGACATATTAAAATTATTGCAATAGGGGTGGGTCATGACTCATTTGCAATGCATGTTGTCATGGTGACCAACCCCTGTAAACCTTCCCTCCTCTTCTGGTTGGTCCAGCTTTTGTTGTGGCTGCACAACCATGGACCTCAGCTGACAGAGGCAGCGCCCCCTTGCCCTATCCCCTGTACCTGCTCCAACCAGGCAAGCCGTGTCATCTGTACCAGAAAGACTTTAGATCAAGTCCCGGAGAGTATCTCAGAAAACACACGTTATCTCAATCTGCAAGAGAACTCCATTCAGGTAACGACAACCTTGTACTGTAGGTACTGCACATGTTTAACAGTGATTCTAACCCTGCTGTGCTATGAAATGTTTCAATGCTAGGTGATCAAATCTGACACGTTTAAGCACCTGCGACATTTGGAAATCCTCCAGCTCTCCAAGAACCACATTCGACAGATCGAGGTCGGAGCATTCAATGGCCTTCCCAACCTCAACACTCTCGAGCTTTTTGACAACCGCCTCACCGTAGTACCATCTCAAGCCTTCGAGTATCTCAGCAAGCTTAGGGAACTATGGCTGCGGAATAACCCTATTGAGACACTGCCTGCATTTGCCTTTCACAGAGTCCCCTCTTTACGCCGCCTCGATCTTGGGGAACTCAGGAGGCTGGATTTCATTTCAGAGGCTGCTTTCGAAGGTCTGGTAAATCTTCGCTTCTTGAATCTTGGCATGTGTGGCTTAAAGGATATACCCAATCTAACCCCGCTAGTACGACTAGAAGAATTGGAGCTGTCAGGGAACCAGCTCGGTATAGTCCGGCCTGGATCCTTTCAAGGCCTAGTGTCACTTCGCAAACTTTGGCTAATGCATTCGAGAGTGTCAGTGATTGAGCGCAATGCGTTTGATGACCTCAAGAACCTGGAGGAGCTTAACCTCTCCCACAATTCCTTGCATTCACTACCCCACGACCTCTTCACCCCTTTACACCAACTGGAACGGGTTCATCTCAACCACAACCCTTGGGTGTGTAACTGCGATGTTCTGTGGCTCAGCTGGTGGCTTAAAGAAATGGTTCCTAGTAATACAACTTGTTGCGCCCGCTGTCACGCTCCTCCAGGTCTAAAGGGGAAGTACATCGGGGAATTGGATCAGACCCACTTTACCTGCTTTGCCCCAGTAATTGTTGAGCCACCTACAGACCTCAACGTTACCGAGGGTATGGCCGCGGAGCTGAAGTGTCGCACGGGAACCTCGATGACCTCTGTGAATTGGTTCACTCCGAACGGCACTTTGATGACCCACGGTTCGTACCGAATTCGGATCTCAGTGCTTCATGACGGAACGCTGAACTTTACAAACGTGACCATGCAAGATACTGGGCAGTACACTTGCATGGTCACCAATTCGGCAGGTAACACTACCGCAACGGCTGTTCTCAATGTGTCGGCATCAGATCCCAGCAACAGCTACAGTTACTTCACGACTGTTACTGTGGAAACAGTGGAGACAAAGGACAAAGAGTCTGCCAGACAGTATATCAACGAGACTTTGATAGAATTCTCTAATCCAACTGTTCAACGAGGAGTGTTAGATGGGAGACCTGGTATTACTATATCTCCCTCTCTGTCGTCTCTCTCTCCACTATCCCCACGGGCCAACAGAGCTACTGATAATGCAGTGACTGTATCCATAATAGATGTAACAAACATTCCAGGCTTGGATGACGTGATGAAAACCACTAAGATTATCATTGGTTGCTTTGTGGCCATCACTTTTATGGCGGCTGTAATGTTGGTGGTTTTTTACAAACTGCGGAAGCAGCACCAGCTACATAAGCACCATGGTCCGGCCAGAGCCATCGAGATTGTAAATGTTGAAGATGAGATCGGTGCTGGGGCCGGCAGTGGTATCTCGGGTGGTTCCACGATGAATTCTGGCACAAGTGGAGAAGGAACCTTGAGAATACATCGTCCAGAAATAGTCAATCTGCCCAACATTGGACGTACAGATACTCTCAACCATTACTACAAGACGCATCACTTCAACAATAACGTGATAGGTCTCAGTATTGGCTCGGAATCAATGGTGCCAGGCGGCATGGGGAGTAACAAGAGCCCGCTAGGCCAGGATATCCCCATATCGTGCACCCCGATTCCCATTTCCACGACAAATTTGCTGACCACATCAGGCAGTGGTCTCAACGTCAATCCAAATTCTATGTCCCCACCACTGCAAATGTCTCTGCCTATGCCTACTATGGGTCTACATGGATCAATCAAGGGATTAATGAGCCAAAACCAGAATCCCCAAATGGAACCACTTATTTTCAAAGGCAGCTCGAAGGAAAATGTACAAGAGACTCAAATCTGAAAAACTTAAGGCGAGAGTACGCACGCGGAGAGTGCGAGTGAATTGACGTTCGTAAGCAAGTGGGAGTCGACGTTGGTTTTATGCACAGAATGACAAGATACAGTAATAGACTGCATTGACACTACTCTATGGGAGGGTGTAGACTGTTGTGGCAATACACAAATATGGACGGAGCCAAGGATTACTACAATGGACCATTTGTGTTAGTTATCAGGATCAAGACCATGAAGACCAAGTAATGGGCGTTGCTACAATGTAAATCTGTGCCAAAGCAACATTCTTTGCAGTTTCTATGACCTTACAAACTAGCCTTTCTGATTACTCAGTACCCTCGTCATTGTTTGCCAAGAAAGTAAGAAAGACTTGCGCTCTACGCACCACCCCACATGGAAGAGATATTTAAAGAAAAAAAAATAAATATCAATGACATTTTCTTCTAACCAAGAAGAAATCCACAGTCTCTATCAAGTAACTCAAGCAAACGCTCTTGAGATGAACATCATCTAGATGTAAAAAAAAAAAAAAAAAAAAAAAAAAAAAAATGGACGAAAAGGTACAGTGCAGTACAAACTACTGTGAAAAATCCACAAATTATATAAATATATTTTCATTTAAATATGTATCATTAAATACTCACAGATGGAAAGGTATTTTAGGGAGGATGTATCAGATGGAAAGGTTTGTTTCTTTGTGAATAATCACGGGGGCGGGGGGGGTATAGCTAGGGTTGGTTAAGCTTGGGCTACTTCTCAGAAAAACAAGGGCTCCATCGCAACACGCATTAAGAATCTTTGCATTGGCGTTGTACGGTCAGTTTAGGTTGAGTTCAATGCAAATATGTTTGAGAAAAAAAAAAAAACGTTCAGTTGCTACAAGATAAAAACGACAACCTTTGTGTTCTACAGTGGATCATGCGTTTCCTACCTACTGTAGTGTTTGGATTGATCAAATTTGGAGACGTAGAGCCCGTCATGTCATGGCAGAGGTGAAGGTCTGACTCACAAACGTAAGGATAAACCAATGCAAAGATACCGATATGTGTGGTAAAGTGACAACGTGTGAGAGAATGTTGAAGAAAAGATCAGTAGCCAGGCAGTTGCTTATACTGTAGGTATTTCGATGTGACCTCCTTGCTCTTGGTTGCCACGATCATGCCATATTAAGCTGTCTTCGGGATAGCATAGATATCTATCTGCAGCAGCAGCATTGTTGGAAGGATTTACCGTTCATCTTTGGATAATTAGAATGAATGAAAATGTACAGTATATTAATAATAAAAAATATGTCTGGTTGTATTACAATTGTACGAGCGACATCTCTACATTTGAGATTTCATATGTTTTTTTTTTTTTGGTTTTTTTTGCCACTTATGCTTCTTGTGTTTCAACTCTGCATTTCTTTACTTTTCCGTTAGTTTGATATAGCGTGAACAGTTGTCTAGCCATGTATCATTACTTGTGGAATAAATCAATCATACACTGGGACGTGGTGGATCGACAGTAAGTAAAAGAAAAGAGCGAGACATTATGCAAGCTAATTTGCTTAGCCGGGGGACGAGCGTACAGTTTTGCTCAAGCCATTAGTCATGTAGTAACGATAGGGTGCCATTTGCCTTTATTAACATGTTTGTGCAGCTTCTTTGTTACTCTCCCATAAATGTTCTTTCTATGTTGATGGTTTTGGAAAATTCCTGTTTTCGACAGATCTAGATGACTCTATTTGTAATGAAGGTGCATTCGTGTGAGTTTATACACTCAACATGCTTCTCCCTTGCCTTTGGTAAAACAGAAAGACAAAGGCAAAGGTTAACATTAAAATAAACTTATTTGGAGATATCACACTGTATTTATTATTTAGCAACCGAAAATGTTGCAATTAAGCAAAAAGGGAATGTGCAGACAATTTATGTAAAAAAAACAAACGCAATTAAGCAAAAAGGGAATGTGCAGAAAATGTATGTAAAACAAACTAAAAAAAGACGAAAACTGTGGTTCTGGCTGCAGTAGTGCCCCCCCTCCCCCTTCTTTCTCCCTTTGTATGTGTGTGTGTAAACAAAATGATTACTTTTCAATGGTATCCAATTATATTTGAGGTAGAGTTGATTACATGTTTATTTCTGTATTTTACCTTACGTAAGGTCTTTGAGCCTTCCAAAAAAAATCTAGCCGTTAGAGTTGAACTCAGTCCTTCAAAATGTAGTACGTTTTCTAGCAACACTCTAACAGGCGTAGAAACACAGTATTGAAAATACTGTCACTATTGACAGCAGGTCTTTTTAGTTAGAGAGTTTAAGCTTAAAGCTAACTTTAAGCTAAGTTTAAGTGTTACCTCCGCTGGTCTCGTCTGAACAGAAAACAGTCCAGATACTGATGTTGGTTTTAAACCACGTGAAGGTCCAGCTACTGTCTGCAGCAGCTGGTACCAGTAATTGTGCTGGAAATCGGCTTTTGTCATTTTTGTTGCCTTTTTCTGACAGTGAATCATTTTACCTAATTCTTACCGATCCTCTGTAGCACTGACGTATGGTCCTTCTTAACGATAATTTTATTACTAATTACTAATTTTAGTTTGAAAATACCGTAGTCATATTGGAATAACGTATACAGTGATACCCTTTGTCATTTTTGTTGCTTTTTTCTGACAGTGAATCATTTTACCTAATTCTTACAGATCCTCTGTAGCACTGACGTATGGTCGTTCTTAACGATAATTTTATTACTAATTACTAATTGTAGTTTGAAAATAGTCATATTGGAATAACATATACAGTGATACCTTGGGTCACCAACGTCCATATTCACAAACAAATCTACGAATCTAGGAACGCAATTTCTGAACATATGAGCAATGCTTTGATTCACATGTGAGTAGTACAAAATCTCGCCACTACTAACGCCGCTAACGACGCACAAAACACCCGCATGAGATGACCAGCCGCTTACCCGGGAGCTTCCCAGTTCTCGCACATCGAGTGTACGAACGTTTTTTTAGCCTTTTTTAAACTCCAACATTGCTCGTCACTTACGAGTGTCGATACTTTTGTTTTTTCGTGATTTCATTAAATGTATCCCTTATTATGGCTCCCAGAAAAGTAAACACTGTTAGTAAAAGTGCTGTCCAGAACCCGAAATGTATTATTGTGGAAATTATGCGAAAGTTGTGTTTGTGTTTTCGGATCTCGCCAAGGAGTACGAAATGAACGAAAAGAACAAATTAACTGGATTTAAATTAATTGCAATGGGAAAAATTGTATCCGGTCACGAACTTTTCAGGTAGTGGGGAGAGTCAAAGAATGAAATAAGTCTGTGACTCAAGATATCACTGTATAGATAATTTCCCTTATAACTTATATACATATTTTCTTTGTTCTTCACAGATGATCCGCTGATGTCAATTTTTTGTGCCGTAACTTTATCTTCCTTTACTAGGCTGTTCTTTTTTTTCTTTTCTTCCAGTTCTTTGTGTCAACAGTTGAGCAGATTATTGTAGCTCTCGAACATAAGGTAAAAGGCACCTTACAATTATATCTCTTCATGTTTAACGCTACATTCTAGGTCCAGCCATGTGTCTTTTTTTGTGAGAATCATTTGTTTTAATTGGGAATCTTCCGAGGCAAAGTTTTGTTTTTTGGTGACTATCCCAACAACTTTTTTTCTTGGTTTCAGTTTAGTCACAAGGTAATAATTTAGGCTAGGCACACAACATATGGCTGCTCCGTTGATGTTTTCCAGTTGGTGTCAGATTTGTCCGATTTTATTGTGTTTGATTGGTCTGTGTCTGCACTCGGGTTTGGGTTTGGTTTCGTCTTCACAGGAAATCAAACTCTACCCCTCTTAGGTTTTCTTTCACCCGCTCCGTACTCTCACCAGAGATCGCGGTGTCATCGGCAAACATCATGGTCCCTGCGGCCCTCCAGCCTGACCTCATCTGTCAACCTGTCAACCTGTCAGATGCTTTTCAGCAGAGCAAAACAAAAAGATGCTTAGAACTGACCTATGATGTAACCCCACCCCTACCTTGAACCCATCAGACACTGCAAAAGCGCACTCAAGTAAATGTACCTCATGTGACTGTCTCATACAGTACCGCAGTTCTTCCACCGGCACACTTTCATGTGGGTCCTTTACAAAGAGACAGCAACACCTTCTGATCATCTGTCTAAACTTTTACAACCCCCCCACACACACACACTCCGCCCCCCATACCTTCATTTTCTGGCCGATCAACTTTATGCCTCTGTCGTTACTACAGCCCTGCGCGTCATCGTCATTCTTAAAGATCGGTACCAGCGCATCCTTTCTCCTTTCATTGTGTTCAACAACCTGGTTATAAAGTCCACTGCACACTCTGCTGAACATCTCTGTACCTCCACATCTGTGCCATCTGAACCGACAGCCCTTTTCCCATGTCACTTCGTCCTTACTAACGCTATAATCCTAGCACATTTCCCCTCAAAATTCCTCACCGACCTAACTGGTTAAATGTCATTTGCGGCTCATTTCTCTGTCGAGCTAATCGGTACAACCGGTACGATTTCCCCTGGCACCAATTTACAATAAGTCTGACCTTTTTCAGATACTGCTTCCTGTACACGATGTGATCCACCTCTGTGCATCCTCTTTTACTCTCATATGTTATCTAATGTACTTCCCTCGCTCTAAAACAAGTATTTACAAGGAAGTCATTTGTGTGATCCCCAAGATTTTTTTTGGCACGCCCAATACCCTTCTTGACACAGAATGAGATAGATATATGCCATATATATATATATGTAGACCTATATGTATAAGTATAAGGCATTTGTTTATTTAAGAGTAAAGACCATTCTCTAGATCAGCGGTTCCCAAACCCAGGGCTTCCGTGGATCAATTGGTACCAGGCAGCACAGAAAGAATGTGTAACTTACATTGTATTTCCCTTTCATGTATTGATTCATTCTGAACGATGTGATATTTTGAAAAATTACCAGATTCTCTCCGCTGCATTTGTCTTGCTTGCCTCGGTCACGTGTCTCGGCTACATCCGCTACCTTCTTAAAAGGTCTGCTACATTTGTGCTAAATTGAAACCGCCCCAAGCTAGGCAAAATTAACAAAAAAAAAACAAACGTCTTTGTAAAGTTTATTTGCGCAGTGAGGAGACAGAAGAAAGAAGAAAGCTGCATTTAACAGACAATTCCAGGAGTCCTACTTGAAATGTAGATTCATTGCGACAGGTTGTTCCCATGCACCAAGCCCGCGCTGCATAATACGTGGCAAGCAACTCTCTAATTAGGCAACGAAGCCTTCTAAACTTCTTTCGCCACTTGGAGACCAAGCATTCTACGGTAAAAGACAAGCGCCATGTTACGAGGATCCTGCTAATAAAGTTGCATACACAGTGATTTAATGTTTGTTATTATATTTAGAAAATACCAGTTTGTATGCCAGTCGTATCATTTTAGGCCAGTCCGGGAAAAAATTGTCAGACATTTAACCAGTCCGTGGCCCAAAAAAGGTTAGGGACCGCTGCTCTCTTTTGAGCTGTATTTGGTCTCTCTGCTTAGCAATTGGGCTTTCTAAGCTGCAAGGGCAATTCATTTTATTAGCATTGCAAATATTAGTTAAAAGAGGGTAACAGTAGGCACCTGCCATTTTTTGGGCAGCGTGTAGCCTTTAAATTTATTTTATAATTACCAACTGCTGGTTCTATATGTTTTAAACAATAGCTAGCAAAGAAGTGTAAAGACGTATTTTTGTTCATTTTGCTTGGCGGTTCCAATTTCGTGGTGTAGGTTACTGTACAATACTTTTTTTGTGTGTGTATGTTTGTGTCCTCCTCAAGAAGGACATGTTTGGACACCACTGTTACTGGTGTCCAACGCAGAGTTATTGATTGAGTGGAGCATAGGATGAGACAATTGACATGCAGCAGACAGACAACTTTCTAACACCTTAAACACCCATGCACGTTCACAAAAAGGGAGTTTGGTGCTGGATTACTGGAGTATTTGGAATAGTTCCACACCACTCCCACTAGGAGGAACTAAGGGCCGTGCCGTCAGGGGGTAAACAACAGCCGAAGTAGCCTAGCAACTAGCAACTAGCTGTAAGCCTAAATAGCAAAGTTGCAATCAAAAGTAGTGGTATTTATTAGCATAGATTAGCATAGCGTAACTAGCTTGACTAGTGCTAAGCTAAACACCATTAGGCTAAAGATTAGCATTAGCAAATCTTATTGTAGTTTTGATATAAATCGACAGAGCATAAGTTGGCTGAGCTAATGCTAAGCTAGTTAGCATGAACCTGCATAATATTAGCATTAGCATTTAGATTCTGGTAATTAGAGAACTAGCAGACATTAACATAGCACTACAAGCTAATTTAGCTCAGTTGGTGCTAAAGCCAACACAGATAATAGCACGGCTGCTATGTAACTAATAGAAAGCATCAGTATAATATTATAATCTGAACACAACAGAGTAACATAACAATGGCTGGACCACCCCCTGAGATAATGGGTGCTAAATTCCCAGAACACATCAAAGAAATCCCAACATTTTCTGAAAAATGGGCAAAACGTACAGCAAGCATGCCCCCGCATTGGCCTATGGTTAGCATATTTGATGTGGAGATTATGGAAATAAGAATCAAAAATTACAAGCCAAAAGATCAAAGTAAGAAAAGACAAAAGAAAAGAGAGCTTGAGTTGAAAATACCAAAACTATTCAAAAATGAAGGCCAAAAATACCTGGAAAAAACAAAAAAGAGAGAGTATAATAAATCATCAAATGTAAAAAAAACATGAGGACAATCAGCTAACTACTAAGGATCTATCCCAGCTTAGCTGGTTTAGCTAAA